CTGAGTTTAGTATAATATTTATATTTTCAAAATTTTCCCAGTTAGTAATTGCGATATTTATTATTAATACAATACCTCGTTACCAGATTCACATTAATTTTCAATGATTTCATTAAAATCTTCTTATTAAATGGATCGATAACTGCGTGCAAATAGAACTCTCATATCAAGGCAGATGAGCGAATGTATTCATCATTGATAAAGCGTAGTTATTTTGTGAAATTATGCAACTTTTTATAATTAGAATCTCTGAGTTTGACGCCAATTTTTTCGATAAAAGCTGTAATTTTAAATTATGAGCATGCTTAGTTTGTTTCCTTTACAGATTAGGACCAAATGATTTTTATTTATAACCTCTATTTATATAGTAAATTTCAAATTACTTATATATCTACGTGGATGTTTTTCATTCACATTGAGCTTTACCATCATTCATAACACATAATTACAAAGTTAAAATATCGATATTAACCATGCACAATACGACATCTACAAAATATAATCTGTGAATATGATCAAGAAAAGACTATTTTATTGCATTCACGGACTATATTTAAGAAGTTTATTTATAAAAGATAACCTATTAATGCAGATATCGTACTGCACAAAAATGCCATTTTAACGCTACGCCAAATAGATATATACATACACTGGCTTGCCAGATCAAAAATTATTAAACTTCTGATATTAAAGCATAACAACTCATCTAACAATACAGCAATCTTGATTATTAAAGCAAGGTATTATTATAAATGGATTTTTTATAATAAGAAATAATAAACTAAAATCAGTGTAATAAAGTTTTATATACTGTAATTCTAGCCCAAAATTGAAATTTGTATCAATATAGCAAAATAAACTTTGACGCCATTAGGGATTTTTAGAGGATTTATTTGCGGTTTTCTTAATTGTGGTTAAGAGATCACAAGAATTTCATTGCAAAAAATATGGAACCTCTAGAGTTCCAAACAGTTCGATTGCACTTTTGAATATATCACAGCATCAAACTAACGAAATATCTGATCGATAGCTTTTATTTATTTCTATAATTTCTTCATAGATTTGAGCTTTCTGTCGAATAACAAAAACTGATCAGTGCAAAGTTTTGTATAATCGAAATAAAATATCTTTAGTTTAAAAGGTGAATCAAAATAGATAACGATAATATATACATAGTGAAACGGACTACTTTTTGGAACCAGCATTATTTGAATTCTGTCTGTTATAGTGGATCTGTCGATTTATCAGACAATGTAGTAGTTATAGAGGGGGGTTGTATCGACTTCCTTTGTACTTCGGACTGAATTTTTAAATAAAAATTTTCATAACATGCAATGAATTAATACGGAAACAAAAAACTACGTATTCTGATGGTATAAGCCATTGAATATACGATATTTTTGTGATCTGCTTTTAGTTCAGATAGCATGAATGCAATTGGAGGTGATTTTTAGTTTTGATTGTGAGTTTGCAGAATACAACGAATTTATAAATGAAAAAAGATTTGGGTCATAGAAATACGCAGAAACTATCATTTAGCAAGACTATTGAAAATGTGTCCTTCAAATAAACGCGATATCGCCACGATGTTAAAAATATTGATGAAGCTGCAGCAAAAGCATAAAGAGGAGATATTCAATTAACAACGTTATTAACAACGATTTGCTTTTTCTAGCTAAAAGCCTTAAACTATTCTACATAAAGCGCTTTATAATCAATCAATATGCTGTTTTAACGATATTAATGCCTTTTCTGGATCAAAGAAACTAATCAAAATCAATTACACCAATTTTACAAGTCTAATTTACTTGGAGAAGAATTGTGCGCAATTTAATTCTGTCTTTTATTGATATTTGCTTATTGCATATTGTGTTAATGTTCCAGTTCTGTTTACATTATTATATTGTTATTAGAAATAAAATTGAGAATGCTTTGGATGGGAAACAAACACGAAATGAAAAGTGAAAAGGAAAAGCGAATTGTAAAAGTGAAATTATTATCATCACTATTATGTTGAAAAGCGAATTTGAAAGCGAAAAACAAATGATAAAAAAGTGAATTTGGAAGCAAAAAACGGATGATTAACAAAGGCAAATTTGAAAGCGAAAAATGGATTGTGAACTTGGAGGCGAAAAATAGGTGATTAACAAAAGCAAATTTGAAAGTGAAAGATGAAGAGAAAAAGCAAATATGACAAACGAATTACTATTATGGAAAAGAAAAACAGAAGTGGATCTAAAATAGGAGACTCTGATAGATGAAGTAAATTATTGAAATCGAGATGAGCAAGCCTCTCCTGAAATCACGAGATCAATGAAATTTGTTATCTCCCGGTAACAATATAACTTATTTATTAGCATTAGTTTAAAAAGTTCTAGAATTCTATTTGTACTGGAAAAAATTAAATATTAAAATTATATAATTTCTGTTATTGTTTTTATTAATATAAAATTGAAAAATTTATTAAAACTTGTAACTATAGATTTGATACTAATTGATATATAACTACATTTTTTTGTTAATATTCATTGAGAAAAAAAAAGATCCTGATAATGTTAAAGATTCTTATATAAATATTTAGCATTTAGGATGCAACAAGTCAAAAGAAACTGGTTAATATTTAGAATAATTTTCCTCAGTCTTTGTGAAATATTTTGTAATTTTTGGAATTCATCTCTTCTAAGTTAACAGATTTTTTCTTATTTCTAATCTTTGTGGAAGTACCATAAAAGTTAAACATAGGTACCCAGTGTATTTTTATAGAGGGGGTATACTGTATTAATAGGGGTACTTATGTTAGGCTGAACGATCTCTAAGTTTCTTTCAAAACCTAATAAGACAACAACTCTAGGGTTAAACTTAATGCCTTGTTGATTGGATTTTTGGACGCTTTTTTTCTTCGAATTTGTCTTATAAAAATTATGCTGTACAATGCTCTCCTGCATCTAATACCTGGGTATAAATCACAATCTGATCTTTAAAAATGGCGAAAGATACATCCAATGGAGTATCTATATCCGACTTTTACGGTATGTGTATTCTCAAGGAGATATAAATAGAATCACAAATTTGGATATTTATGCTTTTTGATGTGTATTAACAATTAGGTATTGAAAGTCCTAAATTAAATAATTTGTTATCTCAATGCTTATTTTTTGTACAAATCATATAAAGGGTTTGTTAAGTGTGAACCAACAACTTATTTTAATAAACAACTAATTTTATTAGAAGATTTTATATTATAATAAATTTTGATAAACTTTTTATAATTTAATAATAAAGTGATAATAAACATTTATATATTATAATCCAAAAGAAGAACATGTCCAATGTTTCGATATAAACCTTTACTATCGTTTTCGAATGGATTAACCTTCTACTATTACGGTTACGGTCCCTAATGAATAAATATACATTAACGTAAATGTCACATTCTAATATATGTATTAATTTTTTTAAAAATAGAATATTTCATATCAAGCGCCATTTAAACCTTAAGTGAACCTACGGGTAACCTTCCAGTTATACATCAAAGTGGATTTTCTTCGGATTTACCTCCGATTAAGCTTTATTTTGATTAGGCTCCAGCACATGTTTTTCGACCACACCACCAAGTTCCCCTCCATCTCCAGTTAAGCTTCTGACTGTACTACCATTTGCTTTACCTTCTCCAGTTAAGCTTCCGATCATACCACCAAGTCCCACTTCACCTCATTTACCTCCAGTTAAGATTCCGACTACACTACCATCTGCTTTACCTCCTCTGACCCCATTACCTCCAGTTAAGCTTCCGACCATATCAATTAGTCCCCCTCTATCTCCTTAACCTCTATCTCCAGCTGATTGAGGTAATCCAAGAGCTGTGGATAAAAAAATTATAATAAGAATTATGAGAAAATGATTACATCGGAATTCATTTTTATATTTTAGTGTATTGGAAATATTTTTTTTGAGAAAATAACTATGAAGCTTCTTTATTTATAAGAATTTTTTACATTACAATTGGTTTTATATATTAAATTTTACTATGCATGTATTAATACTAGTACTGGTACCATTACAAAGACATCTTTGAATGATACGTACGTATTTAGTTTGTGAAAAATGTGCCATAAAATTAAAATTGAAATTTTTTTACAGAAGGGACACTTTAGTCAGTACATTACATTACAATTTTGATCATATGCATAATTTAAAAAAATCGATTCTTCCATATTGCTGTATATTTTGCATACAAGAATATTTATTTATCATATACCACTATAAATATATCTTTGAATTATGTGTACCTTCGGTTACATTATGTGCATCTTTCAGTATAGTGTCAGTTACAGCATGTGTATCTTTCAAATAAAGTTTCCTAAACCAATTAATTAGATTGATATGTATTTATCAAATGTACCAACCTGGACTTTTACAACCGTATAAGACGCTTTTTGAATCCGTCATAGAAAAATTCTTCAATGTGAAAAATTTACTAATCGTAAATTCTGATTTAACCAAATGATCTGTTGTCAAATTATTTTAAAAAATATTAGTGGTTTCAAGGTTTCAAATGAATACTCTTTTATTTTGTTCAAACTAATTAATAGTCATGAAAATAAAAATTCTAGAAAGTTAATTTTCGTGTTCCGTTACATGTGTGAGCCACTATATTTAGAAGTTGATTAGATTATTTATTTCTTCTTATTTAGAATAGGATATTTATCTCCTAGAGACTTTAAAACATAACTTATCGCCGCCCTTATTGATAACGATAGACTTGCGATTGATTTTTATCGATTTAGATATACCCAACAATACAGCACAAACACGATTTGACGAAGTGTTCCAGAAATCGATATTTAGACGTTTCATGGAATATCGTGGTAAAATTTTTAGTTTATATTTTTATTTAAAAGCCGGAGTTGTTAAATGGAATGCGATACACTCAGGCAGATATTATAGTCTTGGATGATTACTACATGTACAGCACCCCCCAAAAAGTAACACCCGATTTAAAAGTATATAGTGAAATACATATAAAATTTTTCGATTAAAACAATTTTTCATATAAAATTTAGAAAAATTACTAATAGAAATATATATAACTTGACAATTTCAATTTTCATATATAAAGCGTGGGAAAAATTTTTTTACTTTCCAATTGAAAGTCCTTAACTTTAAAATAAAATTTAAAAAGAATTATTATAAAAATTTATAGCTCGAAAATTTCCATTTTTTATTTTTACGTATACATATTTTTGTACATGTTAATTATCTTTATTGTTAATTTTAAAGTTTCATCAAATTAATAAACTTGTTCTAATGTTTTTGAGGTGCCAATTTTCAGTCTATGTAAAATCACACTAAATACATGTACGAGGATACTTAATTTCGGAGGGAGTCGAATTTTGGTAAAAACAAAATCTCGTAAAACTTCACCCATCGGAAGTTTTTATATGATGAAATTGTTCAAATATAGCCCTTAATTTGAATAATTTCATTATAAATGCTACAAAAAACATATTTTTTTATTTGAATTATTATTTGGCTCTAAAACCAAGGTTCCTGAAATCTGCAATTCCTAGCAAATATAAAATAACTTTGTTGTTGAACCTTTTGTAACTTTAGGTCTTTTAATTTTAAACATTATTAATGCAAAATTTGCAGTCTATCACTATTGACTGGTTGTCCAACAGTCCAATCTGAACATATTATATGAAAAAACAGGGTTAGAAAATTTATATTAGCATTAAATTAAATTTTACTTGTTATATTGTATTTGTATACTGAAAAAAAACACAATACAAATCTCCTTCCCAGAATTGGAATGGTTCAACATGGATTTAGCATATTGAGTAATTGAAAAAGATTCTCTTTTGTTAACATAAATACAAATAATTTGTTTATGAACATTAATGTTGAATCCCAAACAAAAATTGTATAGAGTCTTTTGAAATCGGTTAGGTAGATAAATGAGTACATCACTGTCAATATTCAATTGGCTTACTTGAAATTGAAACTTAATGGTTGGAGGCAATAGTGGTATATTGAGGGCTCATGAAGTTTCCCAACGCCATTCATTCAAGCATGTTGCTTGGCGTAAAGATGAAGATACGCTTGATAAAAAAATAATAATTATATATTTTTTATCAGCAAATTTGATAAATAAAATAAAAGTTTCTAACTGACTTAATAACGATAAGCGATAATTAGATTGTAACGTACCAAACCGAATATCTACTAAAGTATCGTGAATAATGATCTTGCGATGGTCTGGTCAAGACTAATCATCAAGGTATTTCTGAAAGAAAGGTCTCAACCTCTGTAACAAAGTTGTTAAATCTCACAAAAAGTCAAGGCAAAAGTATGTAACTTAATTTTATAATCATTATGCATGTAAATTTTTCAATTGATCACTTAATATAATTATAGAATTTAGGTGCTTTTGGTTTTCTTTTGAATCTACGGTATAGCTTTATTTTCGTTATAAGATAATATAGTACAATATAATATATTAAGTATTGCTGTTTTCGAGCTTTGTTTGAATTATTATAATCGATAACGATAATATGGTGCAGGAACTCTTAAATCGACAATATGTTTTAAAATGCTACTACTCAACATAGAGTCAAAATTTTCAAAATCTGCAGGTAACTTTATTCTTTATAACAAGTACTTCAAAGTTACCGGTCAGATTTTGAAAATTTTGCCTCTATGTCGAGTAGTAGCATATTGTCGATTTAAGAGTTCCTGTACCATACAACGATTATAAAAAGATCTAGTTTTTTAGACATTAAATTATAATATTCAATAAAAATAATTTAAAGAAGCTTTATTACGTATCAAAAATAGTTACAATAAGCTTATTTTTTATTTATGTGAATTGTGATGAACATGTATGCAACAATATAAAAAAAATGAAATAGTTTTAGTATTCAGCTAAAAGAAAAATACTGTCGTTTGCATATTGCATATATTATCTGACGGAAACAATAATTGATAGATCCGAATAGTAGTAAATTATTTTTCAAGTCTATCTATATTTTTTCTTCGTATTGGGGTATTTATTTGTCAGACAAACTAAAGTTGGAAAAAGCAAAGGACAAAAGTCAATCATAAACCTCACCTCTTAATAAAAGATTATCTGTTTATTATCGACAAAGCCTCCAACTATATTCTATACATGCAGGTTGGATCCTTACTCCGTGCCTGATTATTGTTTGCTATGGCTGGACTGCTTAATCCTTTGAATCGACTAGTTATCAATGGCGATGATGATGATAGTCGATTTCGATGATGTTTCACTCACTGTTATCAGTGTTGATCTTGATATCAATGTTTTATAGGATATCGATGTTAATACTGCACTGATGTCGATGTTTCATATGATGTCGATGTCGACACTGAGGTCGATGTCAAAGATATCACTGATATTAACGTTAATGTAGATGTTGTCACTGTCTTTGTTTGGTGGTTGTGTCACTGTAGCTTTAGAAGACGAGTTTCTGATGAGTGTTTCGTCAACAGCATTCTGTCTCAGAAGAAATAATTCATCTTTTCTCCGTTTCAGAGGCACCGTGGCAAAAGTGAAATTATTGAAGATTACAACGGTGAGAACAAGTATTAAAGTGAGACTCTTCATGATGAATTTGAAGCGTGTTTGAATAATAATACTTTGTAGCGGAGCGGGTGCGTCGTATTTATGCGTGAACAGTTGCATTATATTATCCAAGCAGTTAGTTATTAATTAATTGTTCGTTTTAATTATATTCTTTTCCAACTCGAATGGCTTGTAGTCATGTAATTTAATTGATTGACCAAACACGTGTGGTATCAATTCCGAGAGTGTACACATGCATGCAAGTGTGAAGTGAGTTACAGCCTATTAACATTAAGTACATACATGTACACGTAGTAGGCAACCACCATTGCCACTTCCACTTTTAACATTTTTTTATTGTTTCAAAGAATTTCTTTTGTTCAGCATCTTTATCTTTTTTCTATGACCTTTATAACTTCTACATACGGACGGATTTGATTCCACAAAATTCCACAACGAGGCTATCTTTTAGACACAAACCAATTTTAGACAGACAAGACGACAATGTCTTTATTCAAAATTTGCTTTCTGACTTGTACAAAGTTGATTTAATTTTCATGTTTGATTTTTCATGTACGTACAGTGCAGGTCATAACGATAAGTAAACTCACCCCAAATAAAGTAAATTATTAATCCTGATCCTGGTATATACTAATACGTAATATGGTCTCTATTAATGACAAGACACAACCTTTCATGTACCATCCAATTTTATAGAAAATTTATTGGAAAAATAATTCCATTCTTTTATTCACGTTATGAAAATTTGAATCCGTTTTTGCAATTAATTACCAAATGGATAGGAGAACGTCCAGTAATTCGAAAAAAAATTATAAAATTAAATTTCAATTAGATGATTCGAATGGTGGTATTTACGCTAGCATCGGGTCGCCAGATATCGAGAAATTACATACTAAATGAAAATTATTATTTGTAAAGAAAAAAATATAACAATTATGAAATTTGAACAGAAATACTACAATGATATAACAACGTTGAGAATCAGGATTGTGTTATTGTAAAATTTTTAGAGCATTATATTGAATTACAGCACGTTAAGATGGTCGGTTACTTATGACTAGCAATATATAATTTTAATGTTGAAGATAAAAAATTCCAGATGAATATAATTTTAAAATTGACAAGATCATTTTATTAATCTCAAATTAAAGATATAAATTCTAGTAGTTTAATAAACAATAATGTATAAAGAACTGAAAATTGAGTTCTATTTAATATTTCAAATGAATTTTATTATTATGAACATTTATTTCGGTACGGTACTACTTGAAATACTTCATAATCCGAAATGTCAAAATACTTTTGTCCATCGGAACTCAAAAGACCATGATCATAGGAGCTTTTTATACAGTAATTTTTAGAGTTGTTATCAAGAATTAGGTCAGAACCACCTCCAAAAATTGGACCACAACCTTTATAGCATCCTACACTTCGTCTTTTATTATATTTGCTTAGAACTCCATTGGTAGCTAGAATATCATTCGAAGTAAATTTATATAAAAAGCTATTTAAATCTGAGTAATCTCTGTTGAGTGAATTCCATTGAAACGGATTATAACCACCAATAATCTTTTCCTCATCTTTCACGCGAATGGCAACTACTGTTGGACCTTTATTATCGCACAAACGATGAAACTCGGTACTCTTATATCCGTCACGACT